ATGAACCCGAGGCTACTTGTTTCTTGCAAAGATGGCAAACATAAGGGTGGTGCTAGCACTCCCTTTTGAAAACAAGATAAAAAATCCTATTGCCTGCCAGGTAGAATACTCAGACAAGTGGAAGAAAACTATCTTTTAACTTACATCTCTGACCTCTGAGGCAGCAGGATCTTCTCCACTACTCATTTTGAAGCTTTGAAATGTTATTAGATCTGAAGTTGTGATTCTGTGGCTGGCAACAAAGGGCCCTCACTTGGAAAATGAGAGATGTCAATGACAGATATAATTTCCAATACGGTCTCCATATTTGTGTTCGGTAGACATTGGATAAAACTGAGAAAGTCCTAGAGGAAAGGGTCAGACCTCAGCTCTCAGAGGCAAGTAGCCCACTCACTGCTCCCATCTCTGAAGCCACCTTTATGTTTTTGCTTCCACATAAGGAAAGGAGAGGATCCAAGCCAAACCCAGGCAGCTAAAACACCCCCTTAAGACATGAGTGATCTGAATGAGGATCTCCCCAGACAGAAGTGGAAACTCAGCTCCTTTCTGTCACATGAGCACTCTCACTCCCAAGCAAATGCTTAGAGAAGGAGGGAGGGACACAGGTGCCACAGAAGCTTCTGAAAGGACACGGCTGAGGACACACTGCTGTGCGTGGATCTCAGCACAACCCTTGTGCATTACTCTCTTTCTCACATTTCTTTGAGCTTGTGCCTCCAAAGAAGCTGGGAAAAGACGACAAAGTTGATTGCTTTGTATTTTACAATTGCAAGTTTTCTGTTCATGCTAATGTGCATTCCTTCTTCTTTAGGACAAGAAGTAACTGGTATTAATGGTAGGCAGCACCAGCCATTCCCTCCATCACAGCCTGCATATTCTAACTGGACCTTAACTTGAAGTATTCGATTCAATTTGGCAAGTGCAGTGTTATCCAATTAAGATAATATAATTTAGTGTGAAAAATATATTGAAGTTTTGCACAAGTGATATATTTCCTTTTGTATGTCATGAATAATACCTTAGGCATACCAAGGAAAACAAGATCTGCCTAGTGACAGAAAACATTGTATATCTCAAACAGTCAGATCATGCCACAAGCAATTTAATTTGTTCAGCTCTCCTCCTCAGATTTGAACTCCAGTCCAGTAAATTATTTCCTCCACAGAGTTAAATAAGTTTCGGGTTATAGCTTTGTCGAGTTCCTGTGAAGTCGAACATAATCTCACCGATTTACTTGGTTCTTTTATTACAAAAAATAGGTATCTCTGCACGACTTAATAATTCATCTTGTTACCATGCATACTAGTGCAGTCTAAGGGGAATTTTTTTGAGAGTCACTGGCTTTACTATAAAGTTTTAAGTACCTAAACAAATTCTGTCTGTACTATGCACTGCTTTCAGTTAGATCACACACAACTTCCTTCATACGTTTCAATTAGTTTTAATTTCTCATTAGACTTAATCCCTAAATCAGAGTATCTCCAAACCTACTGCTCCCAAATCCAGTAATTTCGCACTGCCTGTCATTGCTACTATAGTTAATGATAATATTTTCATATATGACATGAGGTGATTCTTACTAGGGTTTTTGTTTCAGACTTTTTCATGTTCCTTTTAATGCCTCGCATGCCAAAGAAACTTTGCATCAGCTGTGCTACACTCTGCGGAATTCTTTGGGGTATGTGGTAGTTTTGCGTGTCTGGGAATCTTCCATCTGGCTAGCGTGGGTTTCCTAAACACTATAAAACCTCGCCTGTGGAGACTGTGTATCTCTTATGGGCCCCATGGAGCTCATAATCTGCTTTTAATCATTGCATGAAGCAGCCAGCACATCAGTCCTCATGAAGCAGCTTTTTTTTTTTTTTTTTTTCCCGTATTGAATCTCCTTTAAGAATTTCTGATCCAGTTCTGAAAGTCCAGAACTATTGCTAATTTTCACTGGTATCCTAGACTGCTACATGAGTTTCCTCCTTCTCTCTCTCTCACTATTTTTCTTCCACAGAGACGCTCATAACCACCGACTTCTCACGCTTTTTATAACAGTAAAAGATTATTAGCACTTTGCCCTCAGTTGTCTTTTGAATATACATACCAGCAGCTGTTTCACAGTAAACTACAGGTCAGATCCTTAACTGGGACAAATGAATGTAACTCAGCACAATAGAGCTAAGCCAATTTACTGCAACTGAGAAACTAGCTTTATAATTACATTCGTCAACAAAACATCAGGACAAACTTACTATTTCAAAATGCCAGCACCAATTAAATTATTCCCTGTATGATTATTAGAAGATTACCAATTATTCAGCCCCTGCAGAAATTCACAGCAGCAGACAGGACAGGGCTTTTCATTAAAAGCAAAATCACTTTTGACATCTACTAAATTATCTACTGACACAAATCAGTGAAACTATTAATATCTACAAAGTCGTACTTCTCGTCTCCAGCAGCTAATGTGTTGATCTAACATTCTCCAGAACACACCTTTGTAAGAAAAAAAAAAAAGGCCGCAATCTGATTTTAATAGTAGAGTCTGAATATCTGAAGGTATTAGCTTAATAAAGCAACAATTCAAACTACATTTAGTGTTTTAAAAGATGAAAACTACACAAACATATCTCTAAAATTTAAAATAAAGTCAACCGAGTTCTCTAGCATTTGGTGCTTCCTCCAAAACAAACAGCTTTGCATCTCAGTGAATGTAGAACTTATTTCTTTTGTGCAGTGCTTCTGCCTGCAATTTCTAATTAACTGGCTCCATTCTTATTTACAACAAGTGACTGAAAGCATACAAGCTACGATGTATTCTTCAGGCAAATATATGTAGGTATGATTTTAAGGGGGGGATAACGAGTTAACAACATTTGCATGGCAGAAAGCAGTTCTATCAGTATAATAATTCAGAAAACTTGCTTTTAGTCCGCTCCCCACATAGCTATGCTGTACTGAATACAATCTGTACATTAAAGATACCATGTTTGCAGTTAAAAATCTCCAGGGACTTTAGACCTATATATAAATATACTCATTTTACTCTTTTCTGAGACACTGACCTGTATCCTCATTTAAAAATGAAGCCCACATCTTTATGTTATTAAATCTTTGTTTTGATCTATTAGTATTCACCAAAGTGCCATTTTATACAACCCCACACTGAATAGGCAAAGCTGGAGGTAACCATCTGCAGCTTTAGAGTCTGCGTTTGAATTGATGAAAAGAGCTTTGTGTTTTCATTGCCAAGTTTGATTCTTCCAGTCATTAGATATTCCCCTCAGATCGTATCAATGAAGCGGACTCTCTTACACCCATGTGTTAAATTCTCTTCTCCTCATGGTTTCCTTTGCCAGCTATACTCCAGAAAGACTACTGGGTCTAAGCCACATTCTTCTCACAGCTGTGTTAAAAAAGAGCATCAGAGCGGCTTCCCCAAGCCCATATGTGTATCTGGTCAGTCCCCTGTCGGAGGGTCATCTCACATTGTGGTGAGATTATTCAAAGATTCTTTCTTGTTCTTGAACTACACTGCTCAGATCACCCTGGGGAAGATTAGGCCCAGCAGCGGGCACTGGGGAAAGTCCTGGCCGTGGATGCGGAATGCACACAATTCCTGTCCTCCAAAGGCACATTTGCTTTACCTTGAAGAAGATGACGATTCTAACCATTTAATAAATGCTCTGGCCTTATTTCTTTTCATTTTGGTAATCTTTTCAAATAAGCAAAATGCTGGTAAAAATGGTTTATTTTTGTCCGTCTCACTGGTGGACTTGATTAACAGAATCAGCTAAAAAAAAAAAAAAAAAGAAAGAGAACAACTAGGAAAGCACAGAGAACATGTTCAGAAAAGCTGGAGGAAACCAAGACCACTCAGAAATAGGTAGGCTGTCAAAAAAAACCTAACTGCTATTAAAGGCAATATTTCTTTTATGAGAGACAATAATTTCATTTGATAAAATTATCTACTTATCCACAAGATAGCTTCATTTCCTCTTGTATTTCATCGACTGAAATATTTTATCTGCATCTACAACTTCCCTGACTTCCTCTTCAAAACAAATAAATCCAAAATCAAAAGAAAAAGATCTTTTCAATAAATAAAGATATATCAAGCAAGAAATTCTATTTTACATCACTTTTATATTTTCTTTATTGACAGTAAGAATTAACTGGGCAAAGTGTCTAAGCAGTATACTTAGCACATTTGTGCCTATTTCTATATATGTATATTCTAGCATTGCACTATTATCTTGTGGCTCTGTGTTTGCTTTTAGAGGTTTACATAGAAATTCTATACGTACACCCTCTGCTATTACACAAGCTATGTGAGTGCAAGCATGACAGAGCTCACATACACCAAGCTAAATTTCACTGAACTAGAACTATTGGACTGATAGACAAAATAAAAACCTTCAACAGAGAAACTGCAGAATTAAGATTTCTTCCAGCTTCAAAGCTATTGTTCCTGGAGAAAAATACATCAAAAATGGCCTCCACCTTTACTGATAATTGGCTAATATTGATTTAGTATCACACTGTAACCTCCTCTGATCTCACTGACACCAGTAGCCAGTCCTCAGTCCCAGAGGTTGCAGCAGGAAGGACACTTTTAGAATATCTCACTGCGTCTTCCAGCTCTTGCTGGCAGAAACACTAATTAACTCACAGGCTTTTCCAGGCAGGCACCTTCTCCAGGTCAACCCCATTTTCCCTTCTGGGGCTGCACCAGCTGGCTCCAGCCTTCTCCAGCAGGACAAACTTGCAGGGGGCTTGTGGCTCTGTGCCAGCACTCCTGGAAAATCGCATGCCACTGCCCTAATCCTTTATTTGTAACAGATATGCAAACAAAAACAAAAAATATAGAAAATTACAGTCATAGCAACTCCGCAGAATATATTACAATATTAAGTATCCCACAAATTGTTATAATCTTCTACTGAATATGTGTATATATATGTATATATACACAATATATCTATTAGTAAATATGTATATTTTTACAAACATCACACAGTTAAAATTTGTACTTGCGCTCTAGTTTAGAGAGCAAATATTAAACTACATATAAATATACTAAATATATTAAACTACAAGATTGCTCTCTTCAAAGTCAGATACACATCCAGTTAATTATTTAAAATCAAAACAGAGGTACAAAAAAGCTGCTCAAAGCTGTGTGGCCACTCTCCGACCAAAACTATTTTCTCTTTCACACCATCACCCCTGCTGGGACTGTGAATCATCTTCTCCAGCGAGAGTACACAGTTGCAATTTACTTATCACACTGCCATGAGCTGCTGCGAGATGTTCCCTCTACTTTAGCATAAACAGAATTTTACTATAGCGAAGTTCACTGTAGACAGATTCCAATATATCCCCCTTCTGGCTCACAGCTGCTGTTTCATGTGGGATGAGATCCAGAAATTTTTTAGATGCTTTGTGCTCTTATGGAAAACACAGGACTGCTGTTCTGACTAGGATCTCCCACTCTGAGAGCAACGACTGCAGTAGGTAAGTTCCTTACCAAATGGATAAAATTATGGCAATGCCATGGAGAAGTTACAGCTCTGTATTTCAGATCGCCATATAAGCACTATAAGCCCTGAAGTTTTTAAAAAATATTTAAAAATTTCTTCAGTGTGGTCGGAAAACAGATTATCAAAGGCATAGCAAACACTAACAAATGACACAGATCCCCACATAGAGAGTACGCTGTCTTGAAGTTTTAAATCATTCTGATTATGCCCTTTTTTATTGAAGTTCATAATTATTTTTGTCTTCTGCTTTTTAATTGTTAGTGCATTATTAAGGTATTTGAAACTACTTAACATAGCGGCTAAAATACTTGCTTTATCTGTCAAAATCAAATTTTGCTTGGTCATTTAAAAAAAAAGGTAGGCCAAGAAGACAGACATTTTGAAAGCACATTTAAGCTATGAATTGGAGCTTCACATTTTAAATCACAGTAAGGACCCTTTTAAGACAGTGCTAATAATTAATATTATTGCAATTAATTCCAAGAAAGCCTTTCAGCTGAGAAGTTTTAAAATTTTCAGTTCCTTTTGAAATGTAGAGCATCCTACATCTTCAAAATAAAAAGCAAAGCTAACAAATGAGTTCCTGCCTAATTGCCAAACACTGATTCGTATAAAGCAGTTGAGGTTACAAAGAAATTGGGAATTCTCAGCCCGGTTTCCCCGCTGATGAGTAAGAACTGTCTGTGTAGTTCTCCCAGAGGTGTCAGAGGAATCTCTATAGTGTCACACAAGGGTTCTTAGCTCAAAGTAAACACACTTTCCACAAACTCAGCTGCTTAATCTGTTTGCAGGTTGAATTATAAGATGGGGGTGGATGACTCTGGGTGCTGGGAAGACGCACACAGCATTTCCACAGCTTCTTGATAAAAAAGGCAGGCTATTGTCATCAAAAGACTTCACTCAATTGTTTAATTTCGCTTTAGGCGCAATGGCCTGATCTTAGAAATAATGAAAACTAACCTGACCAAAATTTTCCCAAGTAGTTGAGCATATTAAATTACATAAATACTTCTCGCTATACCAGTCCTTCACAACTACTTTAATTCAGGTTTTGTCTGCACTTTTATTAAGCCACCCTGTTTACATGGGATTAAACAAGGCTGTTTCCCTGAAAATAAAAAAGGCAAAAAACAACTTCTCTTCAATATTCCGAGTGTACTGTTAGTGTATGTTCATAAAGAAAATGAAATGAAACAAAACAACTTTAAACAGTGCGCAGAAAAAGTAGAAAGATTTATCCATCATTATTATTAGTAGCAATATAATTTAATCACAGCATGACTTGATGATTTTAATCACTAATTTAGGAAGAAATCAGTAAACTGTTGTAAATATAGCTGGAGATACAAATGCCTTAAGCACAGCTGAAGATTCTTCTTTATCACACAAAGCATTCAGGCAAAACTCAATATATAATCGATCAATATAAACAGTGGATAGATATGCTTTCATAATTTCTATGGCTAGGCTTTCTATTGTAGGCTTATTTTAATAACCATGTTTAATGCGTTTGGTGAGTTTTCAGCTATTACTAAATGATCAGAATATAGAGTTGATAACTACAAGGGATTTTAAAATGATGGCAAAAACGCATATATATATCTTAACTATCTAGTTACAAATAAATTAACGATATTAACTTATTTTTGTTGTTATGGATACACTAAGCAGTTTTTTCTTTTAAACAGCACAAAGTTTTTGGTCATACCATATTATAGGCCAATTTCTAGCTGCTCTGGAAATTAACTGCAGACATAAAACTTAACGACAATTATGAAGTGATGGAAACATTTTGTTCAGGTGAGCATCAACAGTCTTGGAAGAGTCTGAAAAAGGTATTTTGTAGTTGATGGATGAAATGCGGCTATAAGAAGTGTCAGTCTATGAAAAAGCAAGGCCTACACAGTTGCCTATGTCCCAGCAACCAGAATTTCAAAAGTTTATATGCTAGTCATAACAATTACGACAATAAGGACTTCAGTACAGGAAGCTGGAAGTGTAATAGCCTTTTTTTGTAGGGAATCTCATGATGGGAAAGAGCAGACAGCCCCTGCAGAATCCCAGCAGAAAGAATGAATCTCATGATGGGAAAGAGCAGACAGCAGAATCCCAGCAGAAAGAATATTTCATTTAGTTTCAACTGAATTTTCTCCCAAGAAAAGGCAAATGACTTACTTCTGAACTTTGTCATTGGCCTCCCGTGAAGCCTCCAAGGCTTTCTGAAGCTCCAGCTGCGTGTCCTTCTGCTGAGACTGGGCCTGCTGCAGTTGGGCTGCCAGTTCTTCGACTTGGCGATACATGGTGGCCACAACGTCCTCCCCGCCTTTCAGAGCACTTTCAGAAGCACCACAAGTGCAGTTAAACTGATCCTTCAGACTCATTCTCTGAGACAAGGACTCATGTAAGCTGCAAAAACAAAATAATATCTTTTATTAACTTACTGATTAATGCTGAGCTGCAAGAGTATTACATTGAGGTTAATTAGCACTTTTATTATTATGATACATGGATTCATGTGTGCCAATACGAGAACATGCTTTATTTCTAAAGTGATAAAAAACAAAGGTTTTCATAGAAGACCCTGCATATAGCATATAAGAGCTATTAGAATTAAAAAGGATCAAAAAACCTTATTGCTAAATGAAAACTTAAAAAGCAGTACTTTTCAACTGTAACATGGTAACATGTTCCAGAGACAATTTCTATCGAATTTGAGCACTATCTTCCTAGGAGATGCAGCAACAAGTAGGTATTGTGATTTACCTGAAGTTGAATTAAGCAGTCCAAATTACTGAGTGTGTTCTTACCTCATGTTACACAGCACTTTTAGTGAGCAGATTCACCACCTACAGAGGGTTTATTTGCAAATTACCATATTTTTCAATACAGTGATAGGAATAAAAGTGCTACAATGTACTAGAAAGAAGTAATTACATTGGCTGGATTTGCTTAGAAATGCAAATGAATTGAGCATGCTAATCAATTGTCAGTATTTTTATGAAAGGAAACTAATATTTCTTGATGGTGTCTTAAATATACTACTAACACCTACGGTAAAATACACCGTGTCTTAAGCAGCCTCTCCATAATAGATATAAACAGGTTTCCTGCCAGCATTAAATTTTTACCACTGTATCCTTTACCATAATAACAACCATTTCTTGCAAAGACATTTATAACTCATTCTTTTAGTCGCACTCAAGCAACAAGTGAGCCACATTTACCAACTACATCACATAAAGTGTGATAGGTGTATATCCAACCAATTCAATTTTACAAATGATTTTGAGGTATGTTCATGGAGATATGAAATCATAAACCATGAAACAAATAATCCTCCATGGTATAAACAATGAATAGTCGTACAAATTAGAATACAGACTTGGATGTCTTGTACTTGAATGCCAGAAAACTCTGGACAAATCGAAGGAAGATCAGAAATTAGAAAACAAATTGAATCAGGATCTGAAGCAATATATTTATAAGAGTAAGAGAAATATATATGCCTGGATCTGCTAACTATAACTATGGAAAATGTGCAAAATGGAAGATTTTAGACAAACAGGTTAAACATTAAGTAATGAGAAGAAATTGAAAAAAAAAGTAAAAAAAAAAAAAAAAGATTGAATATCAGGACCCCCTCCTCCCCACAAAAAAGCCTATTTGACCATGGAATTATTTCTGAAGGTGTCAGTAAGTAGCCAAATGTTTGAGTTATTACAGTAAAATGGAAGAATTTAACAGATAATTACTAAGCCTCTACTAGCAGACTCTGTGGAATTAGCAGTAATTGTTTTCCATCTCTAATGCCCATAATTTTATAGTGAATTTTACACCACTAGAAAATGACATTAGTACTTAAAGAAAAGAAATCATGGAGAATATTTAGAACAAAAGTGATGGCAACAGAATATCACAGTAAGCAGCAAATTTAGAGAAATAATTGAAGCTATTCAATACAACTTAATCTATAGCAGAAGCTGTTGCTGCACTAATGAGTATGACTTGTGACCATCTCTGTGACTGACCATGTAGATATGGAGCATTATTTCAAGTGTGGTTTTCCAGAAGCAGTGCAGACTGGTTATAATACTCAAGACACAGTCTGCATAATGGGTGCTAGTATGTAATAGTATATTTTCTTCCTTTCCAATTTATTAAGCCTTTTGTATAGGAAACACCCTTCATTCCACAAGGCTATACAGGAAAATCATATATAAACAAAAATACAATATACGTGTACAAGCAAAACGTGGATGAACTAATAGAAATCTAGAAGCTCAAAGGTCAGAGTGTTGATATGTCATTACACCTGCTACCTGAGGTTGTCTGAAAATAATGCAAAGAACCTTTCAATTAAATGAAGACATATTGAAAGTATAAATATTTATAAGGGGACAAGGAAATGCATAGAATGGATTCATTAATATTAAAAATATTTTAATAGCTGCCCATAAAATCTTCAGTGGATATATGGCTTCCTGATTTTCAAAAAAAAAAAAAAGAAAAAAAAAGGAGAACACAAATATTCCAACTTATTCATTGCCTTGTGCAGCACCTTAGCATTCTTTTCCAGAAGGTATGAAAAATGCAGATTTTAAAAATATTACTTCTGCATGACTATGACTTGGCTTCTTCAGGAAGTCTTGGCCCAAAACAATACTGCATTCAATACTAGCATTACAGGTTTTATCTCAAAATGATCACAGCTGAATAGATTCTGATGTGAATTATTTTGCAAGCCAGCATGATTCACTCAGATAAAGGCAAGTTTACGTCTGCTTTAATACCTTTTTCTTTCCCAAAAATGTCTAGTCACATAGTATACGTTTTGGTGAAATTATTTTGTCGCTTTTGATATTTATTAACTTGAAACTCCTTCATAAAGTACAGCAAATTAATACTGTCCAGCAAAACAATACTGATGCTATAAACCAAAAGTAAATGTGAATTCTAGGCCTGAAGAACAGTTCATAAAAGTAACCAGCCTTTTGGCTTTCTAGGGCAATATGGGTCTAACTCTTTCTCCCTAGAGCTTGGATCTGACAGCTTCAGTCAATGGGCCCACCTGAACTGTGTCCAGGCAGGTGAAGAAAAAGTCCTGCATGATCAGGTCACTGAGGCAACTCCTGACTAGCCAGATAGCCAGAGGTTCTTCAGCCCCCAAAGCAGAGCAACTTCATGTCTGCTATTTTTTTTTAACCAGTTAAAAGTGTTCCCAAGGGACTTGATTTTGGCTGAAAATCAACTGTATGAAGTGCTGCTCTTATAACACTTCTTTCCTTGCCAAGCATACTTCTGCTGGAAGGTGGGAAATGATTTTCCACCCAAAGCTATTACCAAACAGCTCAGAGAAATCTTCCATCTAAAGGCACAAAAAAAAAAAAAAAGGAAAGAAAAACAACATTCCTGCCCTCTCCCACACCAAACCCAGTGACAAACATTACACCCTATGTTTCCAAAGGCATGTAGGTTTGGCCTTGGTTTTCACCACAAACGTGTCTGATACTCAAGCTTCTGAGACCTCTCAGACTTCAACCTGTCCCAGGGTGGTTTTGAAGAGGAGGGCATGAGGGCTAGGGCAGAGCAGCACTGATGACTTGGGAACAGGGCCTCAGAGGTGCTCTTAGCAGATACTGAAGTGAGACAATATCCCCACCCCCCCCAAAAAAAAAAAAAAAAAAAGCTCATACGATCTACAAGGACTTTGACACTAAGCTGGCCTTGCTGCACAACACAGCATATATAACGGTGGAGTTCGCATCACATGTGAGTGCATTTGACAGCTGTTAGACAGGCAACTAGATGGAATTACCCTACCATAGACAAATATTTTACTAGCCTGTGATTATGTGCTTTCCTCTGCAATTACAAGCATTAAGGTCACATCAACCACCCGAACATCATTCACTAATTCAACCAGGCAGCAGCAGTTGTGTTAGACTCCATTACAGGCAGAGGCCACACACCATACAGTACTATAACAGTAATGTACATCATATACAAAGAAGAATATGTTCTGTGCATTCTTAGGGTCCATCAGAGAGTGTCTTTATCTCACATGTGGTGAATCCACATATTCTTACCCTGGAATAAGCTCAGGTATCCTCTCTCTTTTCTATTCTTTCATCAGACCCAAGGATGAGCCCACTACTGATTCTATTTTCCATGTTGGTTGGTGATATAAACTAAGGATTTTATAGGACTACAGGTTGATATATGAGAGCCAATCATGAAAACCCTTGTGCATGTCCATACCATCCAAATTCAGTTACAATTGAATTTGGACCAATGGTGAGCAGTAAAGGATTCTAGTCTTCTCCACTGACATGATCTGGATAACACATGCAACCTGTGTAAGCATACAAAGAGTCTGGACACCATCTAACTTAAGCATAGGCTCAATATTATCTACAGTGTGAATCAGAACTGACTATCCTCTACCTTAGAACTTCTACTCTTCAACAACTTCAGATTAAAGCCATTCAAAAAACATTTTCCTCAGTTTTCTTGTTTTTAAAATGAGGACAATTATACTACTGACCTTTGCACGGTGGTCTGAACTCCACTACTGAAAAAAGATACTTGTCACTGCTAAAACACATAACTTAGATGCAGCACAATAGAGTGTGGATAAATAATGAAGGTGAAACAGAATACAAGCAAAACACAAATGATGCTGATAAGCAGAAGGAAGATTTTTAGAGATTTTTGCAGCTATCTCTTTGTCCGACTGCACAAAACCTTGATAATTGTTTGTAGCTGGGAAATGTTCCTGAATTTCCCAAGAATGTATATGATGCTTGCTCACACATGAGGATATGCAACAGCATCCAAAACCAAGGCCCTCTACAGCCTCTGGTTGATTAATTGCTAATGCGGCAGAAGACAGCTCAGCTAGAATAGCTTTTTTTTTTCTCTACACATCTGAATTTAAAGAAGAGACTACAACAGACCTTATATTTTAATCCTAAACACGATTTATGTTAACATGAAGCATATGTCTTCATAGTTCCATAGTGGAGGTGTGTTAACTGCTTCACATACTTATTCACAGGGTCTCATTATTTTCCACAAATTAGGAGACTGCCTTCTCTTCAGTACAACAGCAACTATTGCGGATGCTCTTCATAGTTTTATTAGACTGCACGTTAATCATAAAACCAAGGCTGCAATAAAATGTTTGTGTCATGCTTTGACTATATTTTAACCTAACCATTCACATTCATCTATCTTTGAAGCCTTGCTTATAATGATATAAAATTAAAATGAATCTGATTTTTTAAAAATAGGTTCTGTATTGTACAATGCCTTCTTTAGCACACTAGAACTTACAGGAAAGAATTCAGCTATCTTTTACCTGCTCCTTATTGCCAATTCATATACTTTGGTCATCCTTAAATATT